CCTAGAACATAGGCACTAGGACCCTGTTGCTGCAGACAGCCTCACTGACCTGTGAGTCTGGGGTTCTCACCAGACGGGCATCCACTAGGACACATTTTATTGCAGTTGCCAAGGAAACTGGATGTGGTTCTTCCACCTCGATTTTGTGTCTGGAGAGACATGAGGTGCACAAGCATTACATTCCTTCCCACTCTCGTGGTGTTGCCTAAGTCTAAATCCTCTCCCCCTCCAGGAAAACTCCTGCTTCTTATATGTACCCTCTCTGCAATCCCAAATCTTACACCTATCTCTCTAAAGGGCGTAACATCACCAAGGATACTTTGGGCCTTCAGTGGCCACTCCAAGGAACGTTCAATCTGAACAAGTTTATTTGCGAGGTGGTTTAGAAAAGAAGAGGGTTGGATCAAGACCCTGTCTAATTCTTTTTTTATATATATTTTTAATTTGCTTGCTTACTCTTATTTGCTGCAGATCCCTGGTTGTCATTCACCAATAATGGCCCCTTTCCTCTTGTCTGTCCTCTTTATTACAATGGTTAGGTCAGAACATACTAATTCTAATGCCATTGTTAGATTATCCCAAACAGTAGCCACTGCCCTAGATCTTAAACTGGCTGCTGAATCTACCATCCATCCCCAGATCCCCATGATGAAAACCGCAAGGAAGTTTTAGTCTCATCAAAGGAGACAATAGGGAATCACAGCTGACGGCAGCTCCATTTGCAATGTGGAAATGATCTTAAACAAGTTAACCTGTGACTTTTCCTAGTGTCCTGCTTTCCCAGAAAAAGAACCAGTTACTACAACCTATTGACCAGATCTTAGGTAATTCTAAGTTTGAATTCAACAACCCTTTCATAGGGTGATGAGTCACATATTTGCCACGTGTAAGAGACCAACAGAGATCTAAATCTGTAACCCAGCTCACATAAGTCCTGGTTCCAGCCTTCCGTCATGAACAACTTCTTTCCTAGATCTCCAGGTGTCCCTACCAGATACTATACCTTTTGCAGTCAGGATGCCTCGTCCTGTTTGCTTCAGACTAACTTCTCATGCCTGTTAGGAATGATATTCCAAGACTTGTCTGTACACAGAGACCCTAAGTCTATAAATTACCAAAGATGAAAATTCCGAGCTCCAAACAAAGCCACCCTTGATTATTCAGCACTGCACCTGGGGGAATTACTGACTCACTGTTCATGTGAACAATTAGAGCAGTGTTCCCATCAGTAGGGATCGTACATAAAGGACAGTGAGAAACTTATCACCAACTCTGGCAGAAGTCGTTAGCAGTACCACCTCTTCCCTACATGGAACACAGATCAGTCTCATCTTGTTGCATCGTTTTAGATTTCTTGTTAGTCATGATTGGTGCCACTCCTAATACCATACTTGGATCACTGAAACAGGGAAGCTGGGACCGACTATACAATGCCTTGCCTATAAGGCAAAGCTACTTGGCTCTCTAAATTTGATCCTCGTGGCCTATATGGGGTTTGTTCTTGACTTGGGTTGTGTTCTCGGTTCAAAGCATTTTACAGGGATTATTAACTGTACTTGTGTTTGTCACAGTGCTCACGATGCTGGTCCACTGCATTCTACCTGGGGTCTGGAATGCTTCTGTGTAGCCACTTTCCTGTCAGATGACCACCATGATGATGCAACAACAGAATGGCCAAGAATACCTCACAATACAGTTAACAATGGAGATGACTGAACAATCAGTCTCTAAGCAGTGAAGCTCTGGATTTCCAAGCTTCCCTGAATTCATCAATCTTCAAACAAGAAAATGACCAAAAGAGGGGACTGAGAGACCAAATATGCAAACAGACAATGGCCAGACCACATATAACTGAAGAACTCTGACCCACAACCTCTGCAGTAACCAGCCCAGAATGGTCAGGATTTGATCAATGGCTGTCAGAGTCCCAATTTTTTTTGCCCCGGTTTTCAACTTGGAACCAATTAGAAAAAGCCAAATACATTCTCTAAGTGAATCACATAAGAAGCTTCTAGTTAGCCTGCCTCCAGCTTCCCCATGCCAACAACTTCCAATCACAGCATATCTGAAGTTTCCCCCACTTTTTTTTCCCTGTAAAGCTTTCCCACTCCTCTGCCTGCCTTTGAGTCTCTGCCAAAAGCAAGTGATGGCAGCCTCTTCTCTTGCTATAGCAAGTTCAGAGTGAATAATCCCTGCTTATTCTTTTTCTAAAATTTATTTACATTGTGTCATTTACATTGTGTTAAATTGTGTCAATTTCTGGTACCCCTGCTCATTCTCATTTTGGTGGTCTTCATTTATCACTACAGAGCTAATGATGATAGGTAATTTGACCTCTCTTAAAAAATATAATTTTCTGCCACAAAACTTCTTTTAACTCCTTTCAGTGACTATCTTGTGAGAGACCAGAACCCTTCTCTCTTCTGTGTCATTCCTACCCTTAAAAACTGCTTCCTGTAATCTGACCTTTCTTTCCTATACATTCATGAGGTCTCCCAACCCCTTTACCCCAGAGTTCTGAGCAATCCCAGAGCTTTGGCCTCTCAAACTCTATGGCCACAGAGGCTCAAGGAAAAAATTCAAGCTCTTTAAAACTCCCAGAATAAAAGGTAAAAAAATATGGAGCAAGTCACGTGCTCTTGTTGAGAGGAGCCTCCAAGGACAGAGGCTGAGACGCAGGCACATGTGAGCTCCCTGGAGACCCCCGGACAAAGTCCCTTGCCTCAGGTAGCAAGAGGCAGCCTTATGTTCTTCCTCCTCCTGGGCTAGAACCTTCCCAACCCACAGGAATGACCTCCCTCCATGAGGGAAATGACAAGTGCAGAAGAGGACTGGAGTGCAGACGAGAAACACGTCTCATCAAAAATGGATACAGTTTACTCTCTACTGTTTATAAAACTGACATCGATAAATAAAAACACGGACACAAAGTGTTTGCATTTTTATTCACAAAATTGACAGGCTGCACGGTAAATATGTTTGTGTAGGAAATATTAAAATGGTTTCCTTCTCAAAATACGATTTTTTTCTTAGCTTTAGAACACACTTTCCTTATCTTGCCTGCCCACACTAATTTTGAACTTGAATTGCTCAGTGTCATCTGCAAGGACGCAGGATTATGGTCTCTCCTGGTGTGGTACAGAACTCCTGATGTCACAGTGATTGGCGTAGTCCCTGGCCATGGTTCCCCCCATGCTGCCTGGCCCAGTTCCCTGACATTGATGTCCCTGAAGCTGCTACAGCGAGATGGCCTCCCTGTCACTGCTCTCCTGCCTGGGCTCCTGCTGAGAGGTCGCGGTTGGCCAGGTCCTGGGATTGAGCACGTCCCAGAAACATCTGCCAAAATATCTTGTCATTTGACATAGCAATCAAAACCTGGGTTGCACAGGTGAACTGGAAGTTCTTTCAGGGGTTCACAGTGTGTTCCTCTTTAACTCTGGGGATGAAGCTCATTCTCCCGGCTGTCACACAGCCACTCATCCAGCCTCAGCTGCAGGACACGGCAACATGCTCCAAACTGAAAAATTCTCTACATACAGGTTCTGGTTTCTCCTGAGCTCAGCCAAGAATCGTTCATGTGAGTCCCAGCTCCCAGAAGAGATGGGAGGCTCTACAGAATTCTAACAAGGCTGCCGAGGTTGTTGCCACGGAGAAGGGACGGGGGTGGGGCAGGCACCCTCAGTGGAGGGTGTTTTCTGTAGGTACAGGCCCACCTGGAGGATAAGCACCAAATGTGAAGTTCATGCTGAAGGGAGATGCATATTCCCACTGCCGCACTTGCCCTTTCTGACCCAGGGCCTGAGAGGTGAGGATTTCTTAGGCACTTTCTAGAACCACCCTACATACTCCCAGCCAACTATTCCACATGTCAACATGCTCCAAGGAGGAGAGGAAACCATTTACTGCTCTGCCTGGGAAAAAATGCTCTAATTGTAGTGGGGGAAATTATGCCTTCCCACTGAACTGTCTTTTATATATTAAGTATTTGTCCAAGATCTGTTCTCAGACATTATGTTCAACTCTATTTCCAGCCAAATTAGCTGGATTTGTGGCTAAGGAGTCCTTTATGGGGGCTGGAGGAGAATGTGGTTTTTTTATTTTTTTGGAAAAATAAACCATACACACATACTCCTAATGGAAGTTCTCTGCTCTGGAAAAAGGGGTTTTCAGTATTTTGGTAGTAGTTTTTCTCAGCATGGTTTTCTAAACATACTGAAGTAAAGGCTGCAGGAAACAGCTGACCCAGAAATTATGTTTATTTCCAGTCTCTGTGGTCCACGTTGAAGGAGGAAGCTGAGAACAGACATGGGCACTGAGGGCCAGGACTGGGGCAGCCCCTGGGTGATGTGTACACGTGCCTGTGTGTGCACGTGCATATGTAGGCACCCAGGACATGACACAGGCCCTCAGTTTCCAATGCACAACTGCAACCATAAATCAGATTTCTGTTGGTAATAACTGGCATTTGCCTAATGACCCACCTGCTCCTTACCAGACGTCTAAGAAGGAGCTCAAAGAATTCCTACACAATCTGACAGGAGGACATAAACGGAAACATTTAGCATCTTAAGCTTCACAGTGGTTCAGCGCAAAATTTCTCCGCCAACTTCTACTGGATTTTCAGTCATGATTATGCATTTCACCTTCTCTCTCACAACTGTCCAACTCCAGCTTCAGCAAATAAACAGCAAGCAATTGGCTAGAAGAGCAAAAGTCTGAACTAGGCATTGCTCGCTGCTTATTTTAGGGGAGCGAGGAATTCCTTGAACGACAGAATTAGCTGAGTTTTAAGTTATTATAAATGTGGCTGTTCGTGTATATATTGTGTAAAACAAATCAGTAACACCCCCAAGTGCCTCCTAGTCCTAGGTCACTAGCCCTCCCCAGTGGCCCCCACAGTAGATCCCCTGGTGATATCTTACTCCTTATATTGAAACTTCAAAATCAGAAATCTGACGTTTCCAACTAGGAAGTTAAAAAGAGAAAAGAAGTTTACACACTTTACGATACATGATTTTATTTACAGGACTGAAATCACTTTCTTAGTCACCTTGATTACAAATTAACACGGTATGGTTTAATAATAACCTTTCATAAATAGATTTAACAAAGTTTAATCAATCACTGACAGAGTGCTACTTAATACTCAGTAATACTTAACACTCAGTAACTTCTGCATATATGCATATGAAAATTCTGTCTGATAGGACTAATTGATACGAGTACTTTCATAACTTAGGAATAGACATTAGATAATGAGTCAAGGGTTAATTCCACTGGGTCAGCCAGTTAGACCTGGAGTTCTCACCCTGCCGAGGACAAACCTGCTGTGGCCACTCCACTTACCGAGTAGGCATTTTTGAGTTTATTCCTACTTCCGCATTTAACAAGACTATCTTTAAGCACATCTGAAACCCCAAAGTTTACTGCAACTAGATAGTTGTAAAAGAACTTATCACAGTGTATCTGGACAATGGCCCAAATATAAACCTAAGCCACGCTGCATCTGCAGTAAGTGTTTTTCCAGAGCTTTCCCCGGCTGTGTGTGCACAGACTCCACCCCTCCCCAACCCTCCCCGCCCCATGAGGCTCCTCCACATACTCATCCAAACCTTCCTGGCCACAAAAATGCCCTAATTTTACTGCTTTTGTGAAATGCCTATAAAGTACAGTATTTTCAGGAGATGACCGTAAGTCCGCTCACAGTGCTTTAAGTCTGAAGACCAGGCAGTGTTTTGGTAACCGACCCTCTCCTGCAAGGTTACAGCGCTGAGACAGAAAGAAGAGCCGCTGGGACTTCCCGAAAGCCACCCCCGCAGGATGGGAGGAGCGGTGAGTGCCTGTGACCACAAACAAGCAGTGAAGAATGACAAGAAGCTTATGAGTCATGGTCAGAACGTAAGAAACAAAAATGTCGGGCTGTAGCAGCTTTCAGTGACAAACACAGGAAAAGTGAAGACATGTACCTTCTCACACAAGCTCTATGAGAGCCAAGACATTGTCTTTTCCACATCAGAACTGTAATCAGAGGTGTAGTGGCCCTTGCTTATTGTTGAGGCTACTTTGAATGTAACTAGCTGAACTGTCCCTTTTAAACTGAGCACAAGTCCCACCCACTAGCATGTGAGATGGGCCACCACCGCCTTTTGGTGCTGGATGTGTGTGTGGTGGTGGGAGTGGGATTCACAGCAGGGAAGTCTCTGCTGTCAGCAACCCTTGCACAGGAGGCACTCCCCTTGGACGCCCTTTTCCTCCGTACCTTTCTCTGTTGGGGGTGGGGGAGCGATCCCTCAGCAACGGGGACAGATGTGTCTTGAGAGCCCCCTTTTCTCACCCCGCCTGTTGACACAGCAAATACGGCAACACATCTCTCCATTGTGCTAAGTCTAAGAATCATTTTGATCATGATAAAAAAATCATACATCTTCCTAAGAAAAGGTAACACGATTTAAAAAAAAAAATTCTCAGGATCTCAAATGCTGAGCAGAGTCCTGTCCCGAGGTCCCCTCTTTCCCTCCAGCCCTGGCTGGGCATTGACATCATGACAAGGCCTGGCCGAGCTCTCGTTCTGAACAGAGATGTATCATCTGGGCCAGATCTTGTGTTTTCCTGCTGCCTTTGTGTGTGTGGGTGTATGTGTGTGTGTGCTTCATGTTTAAACTGTGTTGCCTCATTGGGTGGCAACCAGAAAAATCCAACAGTTCAGGTAGTGAGTGAGGAACCCACACGTGTGAGCACGGAGTGTGTGGGGGTCCCAGTGCGCTACGTCTGCTGGGAGGGAAAATCACCAGCCAGTGTGAAATGCACAAGGAGGGGCCGGCAGCCTTTCCGTTCTTGGCATGTTTCTCCCCCTTGTGAGTCCATTACCTTTCCCAAAGAAATGTTAACTATCAAACGCGTCCATTAATTGTGCCGCTGAGGGTGAAACCATCCAGTTAGCATATACACTATCATTTGCATATCTTGGACACCCAGTGTTAGTGCCATCGGCTCTCGTGGGTGGTACAGGACTCTCTTCAGGCCAGTTCGGGTCTGACATGCCTAAAAATGAAAACAGATCATTTGTTCTGCACTGAAGAACCAAAACTTCATGTGCAGACAGTAAGGCCTTGGCAAAACTCCCTTTGAGGTTCAAACCAAACTTCTGATTTCTGTGCCAATTGCCTGAAGGGTTTCGTGCTCCAGGTTTCCAAAACATTGGTATATCTAGGGGGAAATATCACGTGCTCTCTTGGTAACTGCAACTTAACAGAAACTATCAATTTTGACTTTTATAAGCTTCAGACTCGCAAATCTGATTTATATTTGTGGATTGGTTTAACTCTTTTTCTAAGGCAGCTTAAAGCATCCGCACCTTGCTGTACTACTGCAGCAGGAAGCTTCTATCAAAAGTTCTCTAACGGAAAGGAGCCTGCTTGTCTTCCATCCAAGCCTACCACGGAGGAGAGGGTCTTCAAATCAAGGGTGCACTCAGGCGAGTCCCACAGCGTCGACGGGACAAATGGCAAGTAGCACTAGCCAGCAAGGATTCAGTGACTCAGGAGGCATGCAAAAGGAACAATCTCAGCTGAAAAAAATGCTTGAAACTCCAAGATTTCCAAACAATCAGTGATGACGTTAGGAAACAGCAAAAAATTTCGAGTATTGAATCGAAGACGAAAGAAGGAGTTTTGGCAAGAACCATATTTACTGTCCATTGCAAGACCACAGCACCACAGACCACGTTCTTTCAAAAAGCGCTTTGCTCCAGCTTTTAGCACTGACTTTATAAGTGACAACTGTCATGACAGCGTGTGATGCAAAGGATGTGAAAACAGCCGTCTGCATGTGTCCTCCCCGGTGGTGGTCCCCAGCACCGGGTGACCTCCAAGAGCCACGGCCTGCCCAGACAGGGCCTGGAGGGGACCACTGGCTGCTCCTCCTTTCTAAATGAAATGCCTCCCCAGATCATGTAAATTTCTCTCAGTAGTTAAATTAGAAGTACTATGACTATGACCCACCCCAGAAATGACTTATTGTTTTCCCAATATCCCCTGAGAATTCTGCCCCACTTTTTCTTCTTTGTCATCTTAAATTGCTGGGCAGTCTGGTGATTACACATATTTTCACATCCTTTAAAAAAAACACACACACACACAGTTGTAAAAATGCCTGAATGTAAACGGATGCAAAGTCAGACATTTACAAACAGAAAGGTTCAGAGCAGACTTTGGTTTCATTCAGACCAGAAACACTCTTAAAAAGCATTACAGAGAGTAAGGACAGCGCAGAGAGGAACAGTGTGGCTAGAACCTAGTAAAGGCATGTGAAATTCTACCATAGAGTTTGTTTTCGATCCACGTGGAGGGGAGGGCTCGAGGGAGGGGAGCGCTACTACAGTCCACCAGGGGCATCTCCTCCTCCGAGAGGTCGTCATACAGCAGGGAGCCGGATGGGGTGGGTGCGGCCAGGTCCAGGTAGTCCTGGAAGGGAGAGGTGGCTGGTCACCCCTGGCGCGGGCCTCTACCGGACACGCCCCGGCCCTCCCCGCACCAGAGGGGAGCCCTGGCCGAGTCGCACCCCAAGCCTACTGGCCGCTCCGTGGGACCTGAGCCCCTTGCCGATTGCCAGCCCTGAGCTCCCCCACACCTGGCCATGCTCTGTGGTCCCCACTGCTCCCCACTGGAAAGCCACCTCCCTGGGGGCAGAAATGGGTTCCTACTAGCCGAGTCCTCTCCCTGCAGCACTGGGGGCACCAGGTCCAGCACTGGCAAACTGGCCTGTTTACAAAACCCGAGGCTCTGGGAGAGCTCGCTGCAGTCCCATGACTCAGATAGGAATGCCAAGAAGTATCTCAATCTGCCGAATTCTTTCCAGCTTTCCTCCAGGCACTCCTGCCATTTAGAACATCACTTCAGGACTCAGAAATCTGAAGTCACGGATGAGGGTTTTGCACAGGATGCTGCTATAAGCTTCAGCTCCCAAGTATGACAATTCTGGAGTACCTGCTATTCCCACGGCCCTGGTTAAATGTGTCGTGAACGGTTGAAGCATTTTTTTCTGGCTGCTTCTCAGCACTGTTTTAGGAAGGCCGTCTCAGCCTCAGCTATCACTTTTGTTTAGGACAACCCTGCACTCATAGGATTCGGAGGCTTCCACCAAGTGATACACTGATGTTAGGTTTTATTACAAGTCGCCTCGTCCATGCATCTTGCTTTTTGTGTTGGTAGAAATGACAACTTTTAGTAAATGTCTCAGTGCAAGGATGAACTGCGAGGGCAAGGTCTGGGCCTGCTTTGTTTATGTGTATCCCCAGCATCTAAGGCGGAACACGGTACACAGCAATGGCTCAAGTAATATTAGTTGGAACTTTGCCGACTTCTCAATTACCCAGAGTATAACCTGGAGGCCCAGGGATATGTTTTGTTTGGCCCACGCTGAGCTTTTGGAAATTTAAATGAATTGCTAACATTAAAAACTTGGAAACTTAATATAAATATCCCATAAAACTCAGAGGAACTGACCCACTGGCACTCATATTCTTATAGGTTACGTGTGCCTACGGTGAGGGGTCCTTTCGAGGCAGCTGGTGGGCTCCCATCTGTCAGAATCTTCACTGCTCCCTAGTCTCCCCGCCCCCTGCACTCCCGGCTGGGCCCCTCAGAGCATCTGACTTCCAACTAAGTTCTCATGTTCTGTTAATGAAAATGATTCTGTTTGGCTTTGGAACATTTTCCTCCCACCCCTGCCTGTGGAGGGCTCTCAAGGTAAAAATCTTGGTTTCCTCATGATTTAAAAGAAGCCCAGGGGGCCGAGATCACAGACAGGGGCTCGGTCGCTGGCTGCCCCCGGGGACAGCCTCCCCCTACCTCTGCACTGGGAACTCCACAGCCCAGGGTGATGCCAGAGTCCCCCCACTGCCATGTTCAGTCTGTGGGTAGCTGGTGCCAGGAATCGGCTCCAGGTACTCACTCTGCTCTTAACCATCATCTTATCCAGGTCTTTGCTGATGTCAGCGAACACTGGCCGCTTGTCCGGTTCCTGCTTCCAGCACTGCAGCATCAGACTGTACCTGGTGGGAAGCACAGGTGGGCGGTTACAATCCAGCAAGGACTGACTGCCCAATCATGGCCACCACACCCAGAGAGTGCCCTGGGCCAGGGGGCTCTGTTCCCCATCCCCAAAGCTGTTTCTGTGTCACTGACATCCTTCTTTGAGCGGGGCCAGGGTTTGAAGGGTCATCAGGGGCTCACAGTATCTGGCCCTGGCGTCCAGCTGTGCCTGCTACGGTGGCTAAGGCAGAAATGCCAGTCTTTAAAACTCTTACGAAGGATGAGCTGGGTATAAACACAAACACACCTGCCAATCACACCTGTGTCTCACCCCTTCCTCTCTTTCCTGGGGACCTGGCATGGCTGCAGGGCTTCCAGGACTACCACGTGGGTGTGAGCTGCCAGTCCAGGCCACCCGGGGAGGTGGCACCTACTCACCCTTGTGCTCCCCCATCTAGCCCCGAGCCGGGCACGTGGCAGGTGCACAATAGACTTTGTGGAATGAATGGACCAGTGTGCCTCTGTCTGTGGATGACCCCTTCTCATGTGTTCTCAACTGTCCTCCGAGAATTATCTGATGGAACCATATCACCAGATGAGAAGATTCTGGTGCCCTTGGGCTGAAGTCCAGGCCCCCCCAGCCTGCCCCTTGCCCACCTTTGTGCCTCCTCTTGGGCACTCTCCTATAGGCACCCCTGGGTCCATTCTGAATCACCTGCCCCTCCCCAAGCATCCTGGGATAGGTCTCTGGCCTTGGGCTCAAGGACTGAAGCACCCTTTCATCCTTTCCCACTATCTCTCCCCAGGTCCTGTTCCCCTTCATCTTTGTAAGTCCCTCTAGGAAGCCCACCCATCCCCCAGCAGTGTTGGGGTCCCCAACATCTGTCCTTATGTCCAAAGGTGGTTCTCTGACTTCTGCCCCGTCACGCTCTGCCTGTCACTACTGGCACCCAGGGCTACTGAGGGGCAGGAGGGAATGACTGTGTGTGTCTGTGTCTGAGGGAGGCTGGGCCAAAGCAAAGCCTGCTCACATCTCCTCACTGCAGTTGTCTGGCCTCTCCATCCGGTAGCCTGTCTTCAGAAGGTTGAAGAGCCGCTCTGGAGGAATCCCAGGGTAGGGGTTGCCCCCTAGGGTCACAATCTCCCACAGCAGGACACCGAAGGACCACCTGTGGAGAGCAAGAGGACCAGTGAGTGGCTGCACTGGGTCTGCGGCACCCTCTGTGCAGCCCGGACTCCCGTCCCTCCAGCAGCTTCTGACCCAGAGTCCCCAGGACAAGGAGTGGCCCGAGTGCTCACGGTTTCTGCCTGGGCCGACTGCACAGATGGATGAGGGATAGAGGTGGGGGTGAGCCGTCCTCACCTCTGCCAAGCTCAGCCTCCACACCCAAAAGGGACAGCAGCTGGCCCCTGAGGTGATGCTCTGACGCATCAGACATGGCATAGAGAGGCCAAGCAAGTACAGCAAACACGAGGCGGAACCTAGGCCCCAGGGCATGGGGCTCCCTGCACAATTCCTCCACCTTTTCTGTGTGCTTGGAAATGTTCATAAGATCTTAGAAGAAAAAAAAAAGCACCGCTATAGAAAAACACTTAACTGTGAGGGAAAATTTACTATGAGGTGGGAGCAAAATCATATCACAAAACAGCATTATCACACGTACGGGAATAAAAAGCATATTCTTGTACAGCACGGAAAACACCAGAAGGCCGCGCCTGTGAGGGCCAGCAGTAGGTGTTTAGGGGTGGTGGGATCCAAATGACTTTTCGTCTCTTCATTATGCTTTCATCTGCGTTTTCCAATTGTTTTACAGTCCACTTTGTACTCAGAACACAGTTGTTGAAACAGTTTGAGAACTAACTGCCTTTTCACAGCCCACATTATCCAAAGTATGCATGCCTGTTCAGAGCCGAACACTTGGAACAAGTCTGTTGTATTTTTGAAGACTATCAAGAATGCAATTGGACCTGGAAGACTGAGTTTTGGTTCCCATCTTGCAGCAATTGGGGGCGCACAAGCCTAGAAACTTACTTACTGAAGGCCATCCCTGCCTGTTGGGCAGGGACCAGTCCCGGGGGACCTGCCTGAGCCCAGCCATGCTCAGGCCCATAGGAGGGGGACTGCTTGGCTGGGCCTGTGTGCCACTAGGATGCCCGGAGAGGAGAGGAGAGGAGAGGGAAGGGGAAGGGAGGGGCGGGGAGCAAGACAGGGGAGGTGAGCCGGGTTTGCAGCCGCAGCTCACTGCCCTCCTGCATTCCACCTCGGCCTTCAGAACTACTGCCTGGGCCCTCGCCATTTGCTGAGTGAACACACAAAGCCTCAGCTTGGGCCACTGCGGGTGGTTGGCATGAGCTGACAGGCACTCAGGGCCAGTGCTGTTCCCCAGCCGAGCTGCCCAGACAGGCGGCATGGCCCCCTACACGTGTAATCTCCACCCCAGGAAGTCAACACCTGGACTCACACATCACTCTGAGTGGTGTAGATATGATCGAAAAGGGACTCGATGGCCATCCATTTGACTGGGATCCGACCCTAAAGAGGGAGCGAGAGAAAGGCATTAATGCCACTCTGACATCTTGGGGTGAGGGGTGGGGTAGGGTGGGGCCGTGTCCCAGATGCTTCCAGCTCTGAAGCGGGGCTGAGAAATTGTATCCAGCATGTTCCTGGCAGCACAGCCTCACAGGGGCTAGAGCTCCAGCCTGGCCCTCCCAGGCCTGGTTGAGATGCTGTAGGGAGTCAGCTGGCCTGCCCACAGCTACACAAGGTGTGCCGGTCACGCACCACATCCCTGGTGAGAAGAAACCCAAGGAACTGATAACTGAGTGCAAGCCAGGTCCCCCTGTGGCTGAGTCCGGGGAGCACTGGGGTACCCTGGGTGGTGCTGCCCAGTGGGTGGGCCAAGAACACCATCCAGCAAGATGTTTTCCCAGTTTGGGAAACCAACATCCAGCCTTTCCGTCCTGGGGACTTCTGATGCAAACGAACACACTAAAGGCTCTTCTGAGAAGCTCAGAGGGGAGACGATCTGTGTATGTGCCTTGAGGCTAGTTTTTCCCTCTTATTTTATCCCAGGGCCCTTTTAGCACCTTCTGAAAGGGTGCCTCTCCCTCCCCCCATCCCACCAAGGAGGTGCTGGGATCAGACCTAACAAATCCTCTCTAATCCAACTCGAGAACTAGCTTTCCAGTACAAGTAGGTCAATCTGAAGGCCGAATCAATAATAAAGGCCGTGCATTGGATTTTAATGCAACTTTTACTGTAATTCCTTTTTGTTTAAAGTACTCTTTAGGATTTACGCCCTTGCTGAAGATGAAGCGTGACTGTTTGGGGGAATGTGTGCTTGTAACAACGCCGCCTGCACCCTGTGCTCTTGGGAGCCGTGCTTGTGCTTCTCCATCAGTGACACGGGGCCTTCTTGAGGACAAGGGCATCAACAGGAAGACTCCGTCCACTCCCTCCACGGGGCGGGGAGCAGCCGCTCCCCACTTCCCCTTCAGTAGTTCTGAGATACGCTGTCACAACGGAAACCCCAGAAAAAATGAAACATCCTCACAGCCCTTGGCAGCACTAAGGCTCCTCAGGTGTATGCCGTTGCTTTTTTTGTTTTTCTCTTTGAGCAACATCTGTTCTGAACGTCAGATTAGCTGTGTCTCTTGAAGGGGCCCATGAGCTGGCTCTGTCTCATCTGTCACAGTGAGGCTGCAGGAGAGGGGCTGAGGGGGCAACAGTACTAACAGGGTCTAGACCGGTGCCCCAGGGAGCTGGATGACGCCAGGGGACCAGGTATCCTGAGATGGGCCCTAATCACCTATTTCAGAGACTTGAGAAAAAAGGCTTCTGAAATCCTTACGCTGCAACTCTGGAACCCCGTCTCCATGGCCTCTCTGTGCACCTTCTAAACTCACTTCGCCAGGAAGTCCCAGGTCTCTGTCCCAGCAGAAACCCCACCTGTGAAGTGGTTCGTTCTCTTCTGCAAAGAATGACTACAGAGCTCGGGTGAATTTCACTTCACTCTGCTCTGAGCAAAGGGCTAATGTTCCACAGAAAGGAAACAGTGACCTCCACTCTGCAGAAGCCAGAGAAACAACTGTGGGGAAGACTTATTTCTGCAGCGTTAGGTGACCTTCAAAAGTGATAGCCATGAAAAGCAAGAGATGCTGCCAGGCCCCAGCTCCCCGGAGGGCAGCTCTGAAAGGGCGCCGGTGGCACTGAGGAAGAGAAGGAACAACGAGGTATTCAGGACTGGGGAAGGGTTCGGGGATGAGGGCTGGAAGGTTAGACTCTAAAAATCTGCTTTATCTCCTCCAGGTGTTCTAAGGGCTCTGCCTTCACCCTGTGGGCACCCCGACTGCTGCCCCCACCCAGCCCTGGAGCCCCAGGCCGCCACACCCCACGACCTGGTACCTTGCTCCTCTTCACGTAGGAATCCTCTTCATAAACATCTCGGGACAGACCAAAATCCGAGATCTTCATCCTGCGCCCTTCGGCTACCAGGACATTTCTGGCCGCCAAGTCCCGATGGACGAGCTGCGAGGAAGACAACAGCAGGGATCCCTGAAACCCCGGCCCATCGCAGGCAGTTGGAGGGGCCAGGCTGGGGCAGCACACACCTTCATCTCGGCCAGGTACTGCATCCCCCGCGAGATCTGCCAGGCGAAGGAGATGAGGTCGCCCATGGTCAGGGCCCGCTCCTCCGGGTTGTCCAGGTAGCTGGAGCTGCGGTTGTCTCCGCTGCCCATGTAGCCGGGCCCTGCCTTGCGGCTTTCTCGGAGGAAGCCCCGCAGGGAGCCGTACTTGGCGTACTCCACGATGAGGAGGAGCGGCCCTGGGGGCAGAGGGGCTGGGCTGTGGGCTGAGGGCCTGTGGGGTCCCCGCAGGTGCAGGTCAGGCAGAGCACGGGGAGACCGCGGGGCCCCGGGGCAGGCCCTGCACCCTACCTGTAAGTGGGCAGACAGGCCTGCTCTGGGTGGCAAGTGCCTGGGTTCTGGCAGCCTGAGAAATGATTTAAGTCTCGGCTCACTCTAACATCCCTTGCTCTCCCTGTTGCTAGGGCCTGTGCCAAAGCCAGCTTCCTGGGGGGTTGAACATGACCTTCTCCCTGGTGCCCAAGGCAGGCAGTCACTGTGTTCAGTGCTGCCCGGGGAGGCACCCCCTGCTGCTGGGATGCCAGGCCTTTCCTGCCACAGCATGGCCTGGAGACGGCTGATAGAGGCAGAGGGTCTGGTGGGCATGTGGCCACCTGCTCCCTGTTCCTGCGAGCCCTCAGCAGCTCCTGGGCTGCGGTCCTGCCCTAAGGCCGGCCCTGAGTTCCGCTAGTGCTGACCAGTGTCTCTGCTGTCCTTTGCTCCCTGTTGGCTCCCTGTCTCCCTCGCACCCCAGACACATGTACCCACACACACGCAGTGAGAGGCCCCTAAGGATCAAAAGATCAGGATGCTGTTATGTAAGAGATGGTGACAATGCCTTTGCCATGCTGGAAGTTATGGCACACCTAGTCCCCAGTAGGTACCCAATAGGCGGAGTCCATTCCTGGAGCTCCCTGCCTTGCGGGCTCTGCCTGGGGCAGGGTACTGATCACCAGAAAGTCACCAGAGACCTCCTGGCAGCCCCAGCAGACCCAGAGAGCACACTTGGAGTAGAGGCCTTGTGCAAGCACTCGTGTAGCACCTCTCTGGGCCCCCCTCAGTGACACGTGAGCTCCAGGCAGGGGCCAGAGCCAGACACCGTGTTTCTGGGAGGACAGAGGACAGGGGCCAGGAGGAGGAAACGATGAGGAAAGGGGGAGGAGGAATGGGGTGGCCCAGAGTGCCCTGGCCTGTGCCCGGCTGCTGCTCAACCCCAGCCAGCCTTACCACCCTGGCTGCAGGCCCCGTACAGCTTGATGACTTGTGGGTGGTTGACCTGCTTCAGGAGGTTGAACTCTGACTGTAGGTCCCGCATCTCACTTGTGGAGGCGTTCTCTGAAATGCACGTAAACAGGACAACTTGCAAAGCAGTCCCTTCTGTTAGCCCCTTCTGCAACTCCACTGAGCCAAGTGACCCGCATCAGGGATCTGCACAGACCCCAGGAATCTCCTTCACAGACACTCTACCCAGGTTCAGACTGAGGCCTGCAAGGACCCCACCGGTTGGGGCTGCTCTCAGCCCATGGGGTGGTCAACAGCGGCTTCATGTGCCTCTGGGGAATAGGAAACCTGAGAAGCACTCCAAGTGAGCAGGACCTTTCCAGGAAGAGCCTCCCAGGGCTGGGCCATGCTTGCAAGTGGCATTAGTTCCCTGTAATCGCCATTTCTCAAAGGCAGTGGTGCACAAAGATCCCCTCATTCATCCTTCTGGGAAGGTAAGAGGGCTCCCTGGTGTCCCCAAACACTTGCTGACCAAGCACTCAGCAGTGGGGTTGAGGCACAAAAGTGAAGGCTACAAGACTTCACAGAAGTCTCTCGCCATGCTGAGGTCGTGCGTCCAGAGAGCAGAGTTGTGCTCAGGCTCCCACCAGGAGATTGGGTATGGAGTTATTCTGAGTCACAAGCTGTGGCTAAACAGCCCTCCTGGGCCAGCTGCCCCACACCCACTGCCCAGCTGTGCCACGCCACCTCCTCGGGCTGCAGACCTGTCTGCAAATGAGAAGACAGCTGGGAGATGGGGCATCGGGACCCATTGGACCATATATGGGTGGCCTGGGGCCAGTCTCAGTATGCCCCTTAGGCCTTGGGTCTCATAGGCAAGGGGGGACGACCCCAGTCTGAGGGCCTGGGTAAGTATCCAGAAGCATTCTGTGCTGCGTGGCCCCCTGACCGCTGAACCTATGTGTGTACTAGCTGACTTGCGCCCACTGCTGGCCACAGAGCCCGGCCATGGCAAAGGGCTGTCTACCCAGTCTCTGCTGAGAAACATGAGTGAGTATGCCAGGCTGATAGCAAGACTAGGGCAGGGCAGGCCTGCTGAGGGGCAGTGGGGATTGGGCAAGGCAGGGCCCTAAGGGGCAGGGGCCAGTCCTTACAGGTGGTCTCTTTACCAGGACCCCAGTTGAATTCCTGGCTGAGAAGAAAGAATGGGGCAGACTGGGGTGGGGAGAGCTGTCAGTTCAAAACTAAAAGTGGTTTTAACTTAAAACTTGGATCTTTACCCAACATTGGTACAGATGCAGCACCACCACTCCTGAACCTTCCAAGGGAGGAACATCCTTGCTCTGCTTCTCCAGGGGCCAGCCGGGGCCACATCATCCATGGTGGGGGTCCCCGGCTGCAGCCACTCAAGGGGGGCAATGGGAGCGCTCTCCAGGAGGCACGAGGCTGGCCACGGGAGCCCTGGCTGTCGCGGTGGCTTTATCCACCCCGTGGGGCCCCGTACTTGTAGGTACTGCCTGGACAGGTACCTTTCAACATCTTCACAGCCACAGTCGTGTACCCCGCTTTGCCTTTCAGCCGGAAGGCCGTTGCCTTGACCACTTTTCCAAATTCGCCTTCTCCCAGAGTTTTGCCAAGAACCAAGTTCTTCCGAGGGAATTCCCACTTTGGATCCTCCTGTGATGGGTTTGATGGAAGGGAGAGAAGAGAACAGGGAAGAAAGATGGTGAGGATTAGAGGAAAAGAAGAAGGCAAGACCTGTTCAACAAGCTCCAGTGTGCAGACAGCCGACTGTCACCTGAACTGGTAGGTTATAGTCACCAAAGGCAGGACCCACAGTCAGACCCTGAGGTGCCGTTACATGACGTGTCTCCCTCATAGGAAGGCAGGCGTTGCCACAGACCAGACTAGACTCTGTAGCCCATACCCTCACTGGTCCCCGTCTACTGAAGACGCCCTGGGCCATCCCAGCTCACGTCCTTGTCTCTCTAATGAGGGATTCAGGGCTTACTCAGCACGCACAGTGCTCAGCGGGGAGCATGTCCTCTTCCCTGGGAGTCAGGCCCAAGCCTCTCAGCACTGCCTCTGCTTTGGACACAAGCCAGCTGCCCAGGCCCTGGTGTGCCCTTTCCAGTGACTCTCAGAGAACCAAATTGACTCCAGGGGCCCAAGTTGCCTACCAGCCTAGGACCCCCCAGCTACAGGTCAAAGTATCCAGGGCAGCTCCTGGAAAGGTACCACTGTGCTCCTTGGGAACCTCCATCCCAGTATGTGGAAGAAGCTGTCCCTCCCACAGGCACAGCCATTGCCCTGAACCTGCACACACCTGCTCATCACGCTCCCCGCCACCTGCCTGCCCACTGAAGTCCCTTCCATACACCATGCCTGTTCAAGACCACTCTGGGATGCCTTCCCAGACCCCCAGCTCGGCGCCAGGTACTTGAACTCTGACTGGGGATGTGGAAGCCTGACAGGAACCTCCCACCTGTGCCAGCACTGGGCGTCCATCGCCCCCAGTCTCACTGCAGCTGTCTGTGGGTGTGTCTTCAGGTACTGCTCAGGATGTGCTCTGCCAAGCTTGTCTAACAACAGAGGCAACACCGCTGGGGTCCCACTGTCCCTCGGTGACCAGAACCTCGCGTTCTAATGTCTGGGTGCAGAGGCAGCATCGTCTCAGCACCATGGCCAGGGGTGCCATCCAGCCAGCTCCTGGCGTCCTGGTGTCTCAGGTTCCCCAAGAACCCACAGTCAGGGCCAAAGTTGACATCATCATCGCTGCTCTGGTGTGCTCATCTCTACACTGCACTGGATAAGAGTTTAGTCTACTGTACACAGAGACTGTGCGAAGCACATGCGGATGTCACTGATTTGATTCTCACAAGAATGTTAAAAATCATTCTCCCAAAGGGAACCCTCCTGCACTGCTGGTGGGAATGTAGTTTGGTGCAGCCATTATGGAAAACTGTATGGAGAGTCCTCAAAAAACTAAAAAGAGACCTATCATATGATCCAGCAATCCCACTCCGGGCATATATCCAGAGGGAACTCTAATTCAAAGAGATACATGCACCCCAATGTTCACAGCAGCACTATATACAATAGCCAAGATATGGAAGCAATCTAAATGTCCATCGACAGATGACTGCATAAAGAAGCTGTGGTATATTTAAACAATGGAATGCTACTCAGCCATGAAAAGAATAAAATAATGCCATTTGCAGCAACATGGATGAACCTGGAGATCATCATTTTAAGTGAAGTAAACCAGAAAGAGAAAGACAAATATCATATGATATTACTCATATGTGGAATCTAAAAAGAAAAAAAGGACACTATGAACTCATCTACAAAACAGAAACAGACTCACAGACATAGTAAACAATCTTATGGTTACTGGAGGGAAAGAGGGTGGGAGGGGATAAATTTGGGAGTTTGAGATTTACAAATGTTAGCCACTATGTATAAAAATAGAGTGAAAAAAAGTTTCTTCTGTATAGCACATGGAACCATGTTCAATATCTTGTAATAACCTTTAATGAAAAAACAATGCAAAAATATGTATGTATATGCATGACTGGGACACTGTGCTGTACACCAGAAACTGATGTGTTGTAATTGACTATACTTCAATAAAATAAAAAAAAATTCTCTCCACTTTATATAAGAGAAAACTGAGTTCAAACAATCGAGTAACGTGGCCAAGACCTCAGAGATGATCAGCGTGGCCCTTGGGCTTCAAGCCTGGTTCTGGTTGCTCTGCACCCTGGGCTGAAGGCAACGTGGGCCGAGGATGGTCTGTGTCACCTGGCACGAGCCCCTGCCAGCACCACTCTCGCTGTGTATCTCACTACACATGGCTAGGGTGGATAAAGGAATCAAATGGCTCGTCCCAGAGGCCTGCATGGAGGCTGAGATGCTGCTGGGGGTGGGGGTTGGAGACCCTGCCTGCTGAGTGACTGGACTAGGAAAGGCAGGAGGCAGGCGACTGTGACCACATCTAAGAACGGTCCTCACAGCCAAGACCCTCGCCAACGGGCGAGCACCCCTTGGGCGGCACCTGCTAGGAAACTCAGCTACCTCCCAGCCCAGACCCGTGTGGACCGCCAGGGCCCTGTGGCCCCTGGGTGCTGAGTTTCCTGCCTGGAGGCCCCTGCCAAGATGTATACGCTGTACTGCTTCCCTATCCAGCCTTGTGGGCAGAAGAACTTCTGCTCCCACTCACCCTCAGTCCTCCCCCCAGGCCCAGCTTCCACCTTCTTGGGTGTTCCCAGCAAGATCAGTGAAGGGACATGGCAGGTTGAGGAGGGGCCTGGCCAGGTCAGGGGTGGTGTCTGAGAAGCACATGCTGACCGCAGGCCCAGGTTTCCTGCCTGGGAGAAGAGGGCTCTGGAAGCTTGCTGGCTCTGGCTGGTACTCTCCCTTAGTGGGCCAGTCGTGGAGCCTGGGGGCCGGAGGATCCTCAGTGTCCCCAGTCCTGCTCTCCATACTACAGACAGACTCCGTTTCCTGCTGCTGCCACCCTGGCCAAGCCGCTGCCTGCCACCATCTCCCCTGAATGGGGACAAGCCTCATCACCCACCCCTGGACTCTGCAACAGAGTGGCCTGCGGAAATGAAGGCCAGGAAATGTGCCGCCAACCCTCAGGGCCCTACCCTCTGAGAATGAAATCCACATTCCTCCTCAGGACCTCCCTGCACCCTCCATCCTCCCCCCACCAGCCCTTGGGGCACCTGCAGGATAGCCCCCGTCAGGTACAGCATGGCCTGCCCTCCTTTTACCCTAACAGCCCAGATCCCAGTCCGTTTAAATCAGCACCCATCCTCCACCCTGCTCCATGCCCTCCACTCCACCTGCCTTCTGCCCTCCATGGAAGGCAGCTCAGTGAAGGCAGGGGGTTGCTGGAATGCTCAGTGTCTTTCCCGTGGGCAAGGATGCATCAGCCACTCGTGGGCTGCAGGACTCATGGCAGCACGAAGCCTGGGTGCCCCGTCCCCTCTCACCTCCCAGCTGCCTGAGACCCGAGGCCAGTGCCACCTGCAGGGCCCCCGGGAGGGGCTGCCTCCCCAGCCCCGAGGCCATGTGTGGAAGCTCACCGGGATCTTGAAAGTTTCCACAGAGACCTGGTTCTCCATGGAGTCAGTTGAGGGCCGGCGGGTGCCGGATGAGGAGTAGCTGACCGGGAAGGCCTGGGCGGGCCGTCGGAAGGTCATCTCAGCGGAGGCAATGGGTGGCTTGTGGGCGTTCTTGTGGTAGCGGTGGATGCAGAAGGTGGAGAGCAGCACAGACACGATGAAGGAGAAGAGCACGGCCACCGCAATCACCGTGCGGCAGAGCTCATCACACAGCAGGTCTGCGGGCAGGGGGGCTGTGAGAGACCACACTTCGGGAGGGGGGCCCCCCGAATACCTACAGGAGCCAGCACAGCTCAGCTCTCTAGCCTGCCGTGCCCAGGACAGCTGGGAAGTGGCTGCTGTGACAACCTGTGAGCAGCCTGGCAAGTGCTACTGGTGTGAAGGTATGAGGGTAACCTGCAAACACTCCAATGGCACCGACCCTGAGGCAGGTACTGTTATGCACATTTTTGCCATCAGAGACTGTTAAGACCCCCTTACAGAAGGGACAGGGTAGCATAGAGTTGAAGCAGCCTGCCTGGAGAGCAGAGGCAGTGCACCCCTGCAGGCGCCGTGCACGGAAGCCAGCTTGCCCATGAGGGCTGGCGGGAGATGTAGCTTTTCCTCTTCATTCCCAATATCCTTTGTATTTTCTTTATATAAAGAGGGGAGGAAATGAAAGTGGCTCAGGACCCAGGGCCACGCAATAGTCACCCAAATACCAGAAAAGTATCCCTGGGTTCGGGCAGGAAAGCTCCCCATGTGCTCAGTGGGGCACCTGCCATCCTAGAGGGAGCACCTGGAGGCTCTGGCTGGAGGGTGGGGACCCAGGCGGCCTGTGCCATGGGCCCAGCAGAGGCCCTGCACAGGGACAATCCAAGCAGATGCTGAGTTATTTGGTGGAAGAACTAATTTTCCAGGCCAATCTTTATCATAGAACTTTGGGCCAGAAAGCAGTCTCAGAAGCCCTCACCCAGCTCCCTGTCTGCACAGATGGGGGAACCAAGACCCAGAGGGAAGGAAGAAGGTCTCTTGGGTTTCCTTGCCTTCCTGCAATTTCCTCCCTTGAGCGATGGGGCTCAGGGAGGTGGGGATCCCTGCCCAGCTGGCGCCCCCACCCGCTCACCCTGGCTGTCTTCCGGCTCACAGAAGCACTTCTTCTCCTCGGGGAAGCAGTTGCAGATGCCGAAGCCAGCTTTAATCCCCCTGCGTTCCCCTGGCTCATGCCCACCGATGATGCTGCCGCTCCCTGGTGACAGACACAACCCACTCAGCAGCCCCCTCAGCCTTCAGGGCGACCTAACCAGCCTGGACCACCCAGATGGGACTGTGAAAGGCCCCTCCCCACCCCATGTCAGCACCCTCTGGCCCAGGGAGGGTAGTGAGCTCAGAAGTCTGGGTCACCTGGGCAGAAGGCTTAGCAAGACAGGCCCCCAAACCAGTTCCCTGGCTACAGCAGGCGAGAGGAGGAACCCACAGGCTACCCAGGACCCTAGGTGAGGTCCATGAATGGTTACTTTTCAGGAGCAGAGAAGGGGCTGCAGGGGCAGCTGGGAGCCAGTGGAATGGGGGGCAGGGAGCTGCACCCCGTGAGTTGGCCAGGGTGACACCGGAAGTATGAGTCAGGCCACCAGGCTTGTTTGGGGAAAGGAGAACCCTTTATTCAAATAAAATGTTAGAAAAAGGCTCAGCACATGAAACCGAGGTGCGCAGCTGGTCTGGCTGAAGTGCAGGTAGGAGTCCAAGTCTCTTTAGCTCGGCACCCCCACTCATCCCAGGCTGTCCCCGCTCAGGTTAAAAATGCAGGCTCAACGGGCTGCTTACGGAGGCAGTCCTGGGGGCAGATGTTGGCATCTTTGCTCTCCACGGCATCACAGTGGCCATCGGGGCAGGTCTTGATGCTGGGGGAGCAGGTGGAGAAGTTCCTGGTGATCCCTAGACACACAGCAGGCAGGTTACCACCGCTGGGAGCACCTGCCCTGGTTGGACTGCCAGAGCCAGGAGGGCTGCACCTGAGGGTCTCCCAGGCACACCCTGCCCCGCCAAGGAGGAGCAAACTGAGGCTGAACAAAAGGAAAAAAAAAAAAGAACCCACACACAGAGCCCTGCCAGCAGGGGCATCCTTGAGGAGAGCTGGGGGTCCAGAGTGTACAGGGCAGCCCAGGTGGTGAGGGCCAGAGGGATGGGAGAGTCCCAGGGGTGTGCCTGGCCTCACGGCAAATAGGCCGGAAGAGACCAGACGAGGCTAGGACCCTCTCAAGGCCGCACCATACATGGGACCCTCATAAGGGTGAGTGTGGCTGGGAGCCAGCTGCTGTCCATGCCCAAGCCTGTCAGCACCCCCCCTACTTGGGGCCACCCTCCCTGGCTGGGACTGCCCAGGTGGAGGCTCTCTGTCCCCTGCACATCCCAACTTCGGCCCAGACCTTCCCAAGCCCAGAGTGAGTCTGGCCTCAGGCACCTGTGATCTCACAGCGATACACAGCCTGAACGTTCTCGTGCCACCCACTCCCGGCACTCACGTCCACCCGCTCCTGGCATCAGGTGCCATCACAGGGGACAAGGCGTTGGGGAACAGACTCAGAGTGGGGGAGCATCACAGAGGCTGGCAGGGCCGGCACAGGCCCGTTTCCACTCAGCCATTATCATCCCTTTCCCTCGCTCTCCACAGGGCCCACCTTTGCCGTCTCCTTGTCTCCACTCGCACCTGCCCGTCAGAGAGCCCAGGCCGCCGCATTCCTCACACTCGGGCCGCCTCTTGCTGACCGCGCAGGACAAGGGGCAGCCTGGCTCCTCAGCCATGTCTGGGGATGGAAGAAAGCAGGTCACAGGGGGCCAGCCTGTGCCCAGTGTCCAGCCAGCACCCACGGGTTGGGGCAGCACTGGCTGAGCTGCCCCAACGGGTTGAGCCCAGAGGGGAGGGAGTGACTAAGCACCAGGGTGCAGGGCAGTGATGGGGCCTGCTGGGGAAAGGGGCGGCACCACAGTCACAAAGCGGGGTCAGCTACTGGGTTAAGTCTGGAGGGAGGATGCGAGGTGGCCAGACTCAGCCAATGACACACAAGACGCCCAGTTAATCCTGAACTTCAGATAATAGTCAATATGTGCTTCATGTTAAGTATGTCCCTAATATCTTGGTGACATACTTGTAAGTTTGTTTTCTAAGAGACCCTGCAAAGGTTGCATGGGACATACTTATACAAAAAAAAATTGCTTGCTGTTTACCTGAAATTCACATTTAACCAGGGCCCCCTATGTTTCTGGTCCACGTCTAGAGCGCGTTGACGGCGGTGATGGAGAGTAATGACCATTGACAACGCAGTCACTCTGGGCTAAATGGTTTCTCATCTTACAGGGAAGGACGCTGAGGCTCAGGGAAGCTGCCAGTTTGTGTGGGGGAGCAGGACCAGGCCCCTTCTGTGTGGGAAAAGCCTGAGGCTCTATCCTGCCCTGACCACCCCCACCCTCCACGCAGCCCTGGCACTCACATGTCCCCTCCACGGTGACGAGCAGGGCGGCCTGGGCTTGCCTGCGGGTCGGCCGGTCAATGGCCATCACCGTGTACTGGAGTTGGGTGCACTCGGGGCGCTGCAGGACCTCGGTGTCATTCACAAACAGGGTGCCCGTGGTGTCCTCGGCCGAGGTGACCATCCCCAGCGCGCTGCAGTTGGCACTGGGTAACTGCAGCTTGTACTGCACGTGGATGCCGCTGAACTCCTGGCAGTTTTCCACACAGACTTTCCCAATCTAGGCATGGGACCCAGGGAATGCCTTAGCTGGGTGGCTGGAGGCAGACCCTGGCAGCCTGAGTCCCAGAAGTCTCCTATTCAGCCCAGGGATGGCAGCCTCCCTGAACTCCCCATCCTCCATGGCCTGGGAACTTGCAGACCCATCTGCCTGCCTGGCCCTACCTTGCCCAGGATCACATCACCATCCACCCTTGCTGCTGGGAGCCGAAGGTGTAAGAACACAGGGAACTCAGCTTTGATTTAGTGGCTGGCCCTCCCGGAAGATGCTGACTCATTCAGGCACAAAGGCTGCCCGGATGCCTACTATACACCTCCCTCTCTTCTTTGGGCCAGGCCAGTTTTCCTCTAAGAACTGCCAGTTCCCATCCTCAGCGCATGTGGCTGGGGTGGTCCAGTCCCTGCCCAGGTCACCTGCCTGGTTAGTCAGAGTACGGCACTGAGGGTCACTTGATTCACACACCACAGTTATTTGTCCCACATGGGACCTGGGGGCCATGCTGGAACTTGGGCTGGAACCCCTGAGAAAGAGGGGATGCTAGGCTGGCAGCTACAGCCACTGGGGCCAGGAACCAGGCAGTTGAACTCTCTTTTTGACCCCTCAGCCACTCGAGTTACAGTTAGGGTTGCAGTGGCTAGGAACCAGGAGCTGTGACTAGTCAAGGCTGAGGTCTGGGGGGCCTGGTTTAGGGGAGGAGGGCAGGGCCCTGCCTGCAGCCACATACCAGACCCTTGCTCAGCCCTGCTCAGGCCCAGGGCAGAGCCAGGCTCCCCCAAGGCCATGCCTGACACAACAAATACACCTCCCAGTCTCCAAGCACTTCCCCATACAAAGGGGGCTCAATTCCACTCTCTCCTGTGATCCTCAAAATTGCCCAAGGTCACTATCCTCAATTTACCATCATAAAAACTGGGGAGAGGGTGAGAGACCACAGTGAGTCTGAGGCTGGACTGGGACTCAGGTCTCTGTGGTCTCCTGAGTCTGTCGGAGCACAGATGACCCCACCTCCAGCAATGCCTGGTCCCCTTGGCCCCTCGGACACCCCTCAGGCCCCTCTGCTTTGTCACCTCCCACCATCCTTGACCCCTGACTCCATGAAAGGCCTGGGGGTAGGTGGCAAGTCAGGGAGCTTGGATGTGTTCAACGGTGGGTTTCTTAATGTGCTGGACCCGGGTGGCTGCCAGGAGTGGAGGGGGGCATGGGAATCAACTGCAGAAACTGGCAAAAGCCTTGGGACAGTAGGAGATGGCTTTAAACAGGACATTCTAAAGAGGATGTAGCCACAGCTGCTCTACTAGAGAATGCAGTATGTTAAGTCACATGCATCCTCTGACTGCAAGTAAACTTTAAAAAGTGCTGAAGAGAAACATTTGAGAAAGAACTGCACCAAAATGCTAAACACTGATTGATATGGGAAGAAAAGATCACTGTGTCTAGCCCTTACCTTCTTTGGCGAATACTTATTACTTTTATTTTTTCTACTTCTAATCATTATTTTCCAATGACAAATGCAAAACAAGTTCCAGCAAAGGTAACTTGCAAGAACAGTAAAAGGTAGAAGCGCTCCCTGTCTTTCCCTGCAGAGGGCGCCACTGTTCACCGCTGCCTGTACGTGCACCCTGGCAAATTTTCAGCAGTGAAGACTTGTTTTTGAACACACGGAGCCACGTGAGACCAATATTTCTGCAAATCATTCTTCACTTAATTTACCAGGAATGTCTTTCCAAGCCAGCATACATAGATTTACCTGGTGCTGCTCTTACATTAGTGCAACATGTGCTTTAAAGATACCAAGGAAGGAGAGGGCAAAGAAGGGGGCCCACGGAGCCCACCAGCCCTGCTTGCGACTGTCCCACTTTCCACGGCCCCAGCCTCTCTGGCTCTGGGGCACTCCGTGTACTACTTAGCTCACGGAGTTGGTGGCGTCCGCCCCTAGCCCTGCTTGAAATCTGCTAAAGGGAGCACCCCACCTCCGGAGTCCCCCACCCCTCCATGCCCTTCCCCAGGCAGGCAGCAGGTCGTGGGCTCACCTGGGCGAAGCGGCGAGCCCGCCTGCTCACGGCAAAGGAGTAGTCGCTGGGCAGATGCAGGCTGACGGGCAGTACCGACACGTTGAAGTGGAGGAGGAGGACGCCCTCCCCGGGGCCCTGGAAGTCCGAGTCGTTGACCAGTACAGCCAGCTGCACAGCACGGCTCTCCGAGATGGGGACGCTCCGGTTGAGAACCAGCCCTGCGGGTGGGGGCAGTGATGATGGGAGGGTCCCTGCGGGTGGGGACCACTGTCCCTCACCACTGCATGCCTCTTCCCAAATACATTCCCTGCACACACACACACATGCACATGTGCAAACACGTACTTTCATCTACACGGTGCACAGTTTAACAAATCTGGCAAGAGGCACTAAGTTAGAACTATTACGTGTTAGTTACTGTGCTGAGTTGGAAGCCCAGAAGGCCCTTCTCAGCTGGGACATAACGTGTGTATGTGGTATATGTTTTGGTGGGGAATACACACGGTAAAGACCTGGCACCACAGAGGCCCGCCCTGGGAAGATGTGCTGGCCCCTCCAGTTCCCCTAGAAAACTTGTCTCAACAGCAGCAGCCTCCAGTGGACCCCTGGACTTTGCAGGCCTCCAGCCCCCGGGAGTTTGCACACTTTTGTGCACCTCCTGTGGGCTGAGGCTATGGTTCTAGTTTAGACTGAAGGAGGGGCTCTGGTGCACACGGTGTCCAGTGTGAGTGTGCCAGGGCAAGGATGACATTTTCCCTCATGTAGGACAAAGGCCTTTCAAGGCTTGGTGGGGGCAAGGAGGATGAGAAACAGATAGGATCATTCCAGGCACAAAGGGGTAAAGGCACTGGTGATCCTGGTTTTCCATGGAAACAGATCCCCCAACAAGGATCCAAGTCCAAGTGGGGTATTTGAAAGGTGATCCTAGAAAACATGGGCAGGAGGGGAGGGGAGGGAGGCAGGGAGGCCTGGCAGCTCAGGAGGATGTCCTGTCCTGCAGGTGAGCACCGTGGGACCTGGAGCTAAGCCTGCAGGTGGGTGCATTCCAGGAGCCAGACAGGACAATCACCTCAGAACCCCCCAACACCCGGGCATAGAGCTGCTGTCGTACCCAACCCCTGTTCATAGAGAGGTTCTGGAGGGGGGAGGGGGCAATAATCCCTGGGCATTCGGGGCACCGTGGAAGGTGGCAAAGCAGGTGCCAGGGGCCAGAGGAAGACTCTAGGTGATGACGTGTTACGTGAGCAGTGAGCCC